GTTCATAATCTTCTTCTGATTTTGGAACCATATCTCCTTCTGGACTTTCTTCTGAAGTTTGTCCAGAACCACTACCTTCAAAAGTACCATCTTTAAAAGTTGGATTGCCTTCAGAAGTTCTGCCTTCAGAAATTTCACCTTCAGAATCATGACCACTGTCAGATGTTGGACTACCATCAGAAGCTTCTCCTTCGCAAGGTCCACCGTTAAGAACATGATTTCCACCAGAAACATGATCATCTTTAGAATCTTGTCCTCTAGAACCTACGCCTTGAGAGTTTTCCCTTCCAGAAGCATTGATCACCACCAGATTTAAAATCTAGATCAAAATCAGATTCACCATCTGACTCATCTTTATAGTCTCCAGAAGATTCTTCATCCTCTGACTCTGGCTCACCTATAGAACTTTCAAGTTCTGACTCATCTTCACAACCTTCAGGTTTTGATTCATCTTCAGAAGCAGAATCTCCTTCAGATTTTGACTCATCTTCTGATTCTTCTTCAGACTCAGAATCACCTTTGAATTCTGACTTGTCTTCAGCTTCAAAGTCATCTTCTAACTCTGACTCATCTTCAAAAACCTCATATTCTGACTCATCTTCAGAATCTTCAGCGTCATCTTCTGATTTTGACTCATATTCAAACACTCCTTCAGATTCAGAATATTTAAAGTCATCTTTTTCCCCTTCAGAATCATAAAATAACAATCTCACAGGTTCCTCTTCAGATTCATAAGCCATCAATAGCACAGGTTCATCATCTGAATCTCCTTTGGCTATTTTTGCTTCTTCTTTGTTTAACCAACAATCTTTAGCAAAGTGGCCAAACCTATTACAACAGTAACATTGAACCATTCTCTTATCATACTTCTTCTTTCCCTTCTGATGTTTCTTCTCATCAGAATAGAATACTTCTAACTTCTGAGAACTACCATGTTTTTTCTACTTCTTGTCCTTCTTGACAAAAGAAGCTTTCAGAGCCTGCTCAACTTCCCTCTCAGAACTTTCAGTCAGACGCAACTCTTGTGCTTCTAGACTTCTTTGCAGCTCTTCTTATCTCATGGTATCCAGATCTTTAGAATATTCAATTACTACAACAATGTAATCAAATTGAGGAGTAAGAGACCTCAATATCTTCTCAATGATTACTTATTCAGAAAAGGTTTCTCCATAAACTTTCATCTCATTAATGATCATAATCCTTCTAGAGATGTACTTAGAAACTTTCTCGTTATCCTTCATGTTGAGATTTTCATACTGCTTTCTTAGAGACTGAAGCTTCACCTTCTTCATTGATGTGTCACGATTGTAACACCTACTCAGTGTGTCTCACACAGCCTTCGCCGTCGTCGAATTAGCAATTCTCTCAAACATGTTCTCATCCACACATTGATGGATGAAGAACAACGCCTTCTGATCTTTCTTCCTTGTATCTCTCTGCGCATTTCTCTGTTCCTCCGTCGCATCTGCTGCAACTGATACATAACAATTTGTAACAAACTCAAGAACATTCTGGCCACCAAACAACACACGCATCTGAATCATCCAACGATTCTAGTTTTTGCCATTAAATACTGGAAGCTTGGCGCTTAGACTACCATTTCTGATCATCTTCAACCTTGTACATAACACTCAGATCTCACAAACACAGTGTTTTCCAATCCCACAGAATCAGAAAAATGTGATTTTGTTCATATTTTGTTCAAGATTCAACACGAATTCAAGAACCAAAATCAATCACATAATGCCTCACTGTTTCACTCGTGTTTCCCATGAATCCAACCGAAGCTCTAGATACCAATTTCTTGGTGCACAAGATTAATAAATAAAAATGTAAGAGAGAATAATATTAAAGCTCTGCAATAACGTCTATAAAGTTGTAAGGAAAAATGATTGAACAATGATTGTTATTGTTATTGTTACTGTTACAAATGACAGTTACTACTAGTCTATTTATACACAAAGTAAATTGTCACGTAGGCCCTAATAAAAGTAAATTTAATGACTAAGTTAAAAGGTACAAACTAGAAAATACTAAACTTAACAGCTACGCTAACAAACCCAGCTCCATAATCCAGAAGCTAAGCATAGTTCTAAACGCAACCTCAAAAGCTTCTACTTCTGAACAACGTTGCTTCTGAGTAACAACATCGGAAACTTCTGATTCTAACATCAACTTCTGAATATAAAATACTTTTCAACAAGTTAAATTTCATTATCAACATTTTCTATTATATTATCATGATTTTTAAACTTTGATTCATCATTGATGGATTGTACTACAAAAAAAGTTGTCAAATTTGAAATCAAACAAAAAGAGAAAGATCGTATCAAAGAGAACTATATATTATAAATCGTATCAAAGGGATAATGTATCACACTCCATTAACCAAAAGTAATGATCTTTTAAAGAAAATAGAGCATTCGTTCTTTTCCACAAGCCATTGTTTGTCAAAAGGAATTTAAAATCCTTACATATGGTTCAATCTTCCTTTTAGTTCTTCGTTGGAATTGTCCAGCAAAATATAAGTAAAATTTGTTATAAAAATGAAAAACAATTAAGGTTGAGTTACTACAAAGTTTAAGATTACAACATCAAAGTCATTCGCATACATCAACATAAAAAAGCATTACCATTGTTTTTGACAAGTCAGTGCTTGCATTTTTTGCCTAGAAGATAAAGGCTACACAGTAACAATAAGTAGTAAAATGTGATGGAAAATTAAAACAATCAAACAGTAAGACAGATATAAATATGAGCCAAGGATGACTTCCCAATGGTGGAGAGCACAACACAAGCTGCGGTGCGGTCTTCATCTGATTCCAAGGATGAAGATGGAGAATAACCACAGCAATGTGTTCTACAAGTCTCTCACATGAAAACCGATAGTCGGTGGCGTTGGTTCGCACCAACACTCTTGTCAGTTGTATAATCCTGCATGTTTCTTCCAGTCTGAGAAGAAGGGTAACTGCATAACCTGAATTCTAACTCTTGTTGCTGCTGGAACATTTCATTCCTATTAGATCCATAGGTGACATCAGAAGCATCATCTCTGTAGTTTTCAACCTGGTCATGCATTTTAGACTCCGGCATATTTGCATTCAAATTCAAACAAGTATAGCTGGTGGAAACATTTTGGTTACGGTTTTGTGATGCAAGCTTTGATTCTTCGAGCTTTTTAGCATTGAGGAAGCGGCCACCGGCACCTCTAGCTCTCTTCAATGCATGTACATGACGGGACTCATGAAGATATGGCTGTGGAACAATATTGTTAAGTGGTTGGTTTAAGAGAAATTTTATTTTACAGAAGTAATGAAATAGAAATGTAAGCATGCTTACTTTACGATCCTTGATGAGTTTGTTGTGTGCTTCAAGTTTTGCTCGACACTGTCTTCGCCTCAGTATAGCATGGTACTGCTTTGAATTCACATATATGGGTTCTTCCATCATATCAGACGGCAGGGGAACTCGGATTGAAGCAGTTTCCATTAGCTGGCCATGAAGAAGCTGGTCAGAATTTGATGACATGGTGCTATAAGCGTGTAACTAGCAACAGGTAAAATCATAACCCTAACATCTAATTACAAGTTTTTTGAATGATTCAGTCATAATCATAATCCATTCAATTTTAAAAGGAAACTGAATCTTAATATCAACACGTTGGAATTGAGCCAAGGTGACACAAATAAACGGTAATTGAAAGAGATAAAAAATAAATTCTAAGTACAAATTACCTTATACTGATGGCCATATGAAGCAGAAAGTAGGCCACTGTAGCATGGATCAGCAAAAGGGAAAGCAATATGCGCCTGAAACCCAAAATTTTGAGAAAAGTGTCTGCATATATGTTCCATCCACTAGAACGTAGAGATATATCTGCTTACAAGTGATTGGCTGGGATCCACTAATGGAGGATGGATGGTGAGATTTGGACTTCCAATAGATGATGACCCGATGAGACATCCCATATCGTTCCCCTCAGTTCTCTTAAATGTTGAACCAGTAGAAGAACTATGGTGGAAAGGCATTTGACCTAGTATCCAAAGAAGATCAATATGGGGAGATAGCTCCACTTTAGGTAGTAAAGAAAGCAATCTCAACCGTTAAAAATGGTGGATACTACATACACATACACAACAAACCATGGATGTGTTACAAAACCAACATTTGATTTTCCCATCAATGATTGAGATATCTTGTTTATTATCCTATATATTGAGAACTCACATTTTTTAGCTCAATTCTAAATATGGGTTATGAAATAACGTGTCAAGGTATTTGATAAGAACTTTCTCACTTTGATTGAGCCATTTAAGACAAATTCCACTCTTGTAAAAAAAACTTGAATTATATGGATGACCGTGATAACTTTTATCCAATCGCCAATGCTTGGTAAGGAGACGATAGACATAGGATCATAATCATATACCTGTATTACTTCATCGTGTTTCTATTACCATATAGAGCTACATAGATGCCATGTATGATATTTGACAGGTTATCGATAATTGTTTAAGAAGTATAGTAATTGAATGTAACTACATGATTCGGTATTGTGCTAGACACTAGACACACCTTTAATCCGGAGTGTCGATGATACATAGAGATGCATAGTACTAGTTTGGCTTCACAATTGGAGATATATACACCAAAAGCAGAACAAAAATGGTAAACACCGGTTGACGAGAAGAGAATCACACAAATTAGTGTTTCAATTCAAATACCTGATTTTGATGAGTCAGTCGATTGAGTTGAAGATGAATCATGTTCATGTAATTGAAAACTCAGCGCCTTACTCTTGTCGGGACATTTTTGTTGCAGAGCATCCACTTTGAAGCCCAAACTTTTGGACATAGATGCTTGATGGATTTCAGGTTCAGAAGAAGTTCCCCACGACGGGCATCCGAAAACACGGTGTGAAGTTGAATGAACAGAACATAGAGCAGAGTCTTTCTCACATAAACACTTCATTTTTTTTACCTCTTAGAACAACAATCCATTTACCTTCCAAATAAATGAAAAATAGATATTAGAAACATGTATCCTGCTACAGCATTCTCATGGACTCATGTCAAATTATCGTTGCATTATCAAAAATCAAAATTAACATAAGCATACCGCATAAAGGGAACATCATATCCATGTGACTACAACCAGAATTTATCACAAATGGTTGGTGTGCAAGGTATAGTATAATAGTTGTAAATCTCGGGCTGCCGAGTTCGATTCTTAATGATATAGAAAATCCCCTATGAATTAAATGTATGGAGTTCCATAGAGAATAATTCAAACCATGTATAAACAAATATTTCAACTCTTGGATCAACTTACCCTCATTTATCCTATCCATGAAAGAAAAAGAGAGTTTGAATAGACTAAAATTAAATATATAGAGTAGAATGAATGAATGAAACCCTAAGGAACTCTTTCCCAATTGAAGATTAAAACTTTTGACACCTGAAATGGAAAGCTTTCTATAAATGTTAAATTCCCAGAATATACAAACACAACAAATAAATAACCTATTGTATCAAATCAAGCATCAGCATATAGAAAGTATTAAAATCAGTTCAATAATCTTAAGGGAGTAAAGAGAGACACCTTAGAAATTTGCTGAATTTAGAACAAGTTGTGGGAAGAGATGAAACTTGAAAAGGAATAGATGAAAATTGTAATCTTAAAGAATAAGAAAAAAAAAAGAAAAAAGTGATGACTCATACATTGACATAACAGTGGTGGGACACTACTACTAATACTACAGTTTACATCACTCCAATGTCTTGTAGGAATAAAACATAATTTGATAACTATATAAAAATATAAAATTGTAGGATATGAATTCATACTCGCAACACTTTATTTACGTAGAATAAATTCGAATTTGTGTTATCTCATTTATTATTGAAAGAATAGGAGTAGAAATAGATTAGATTAAGTTAGACTTTAAAAGGTTTAAGTATGGTCTACAATAAATTTAAAAGACCTAGTCTAATCTATGGTTTATTATTGACTTTTTTTTGTCTGATATAACTTTTTTAAAAGTCTGATTTGACTTTGAAAGACTATTTAAAAATTTGTTTTTCATTAAAAAATTTCAATTAATTCATATTACTCAAGAAGTTTTATGGTTGATCTATATATATATATATATATATATATATATATATATATATATATATATATATATATATATATATATATATATATATATATATATATATATATATATATATATATATATATATATGTCGACATATTTAATATTTATTCTAATATATACGTACATATAAGTTAACTTATTTAACATGTTTCTAATATATATATATATATATATATATATATATATATATATATATATATATATATATATATATATATATATATATATATATATATATATATATATATATATATATATATATATATATACCAGTTTATTTAGCATATTTTTAATATATAATATATAAAAATATAGATCGATCTATAAGATTTCATAAATTTCTTTAAGAATAATTAAATAAATTTAAAAAAAAAATCTAAACTTTAACATTTTTATTAAATAGGCAAAGAAATAAGTTCGAATTTGCGATATAAGAAATTTATAAAAAATCCATGATTGTTTGTGAATGTTTCTCGTTGTACTTGGTCTCTTGGCTTTAGTGCTAAGTCTTGACTATATGTACACCGCAGCACTAATGCACCAACTACACTCAACTTCCACCTTCCAACCATTTTATACTCTTAATATTTATATTTAATATACTACTGTATATAATAATTTTACATTAACGTGTTTAAAAATTAATCTATTATTAAAAGGAGTAGTATATCACTTATTCTCATTTTGGTAAATAACATTTATTTAATAAAATATCATTTTTTTCATTTAAAAATATTTTAAAAGAAAAACGTGAGTGAAAAGGAATCTTGTTTTGTCACATTAGAGAATCTGGTCTTATAAAACCTTTTTTTTTCTCTTGTTAAATGCATGTCATTTTTGTCGTTTTGTCATGCGTGTGTTTTATTTTTCTTTGGTGTTTGATTTTAATATAAACAATAATTGAAGTGGTTGAAATTGAACACTGATGCTCATGTTTCCACCTGTCACCTGGTATCAAATCCTACGGCTACTTATAACTAGGTACATGCCTACGTATGGATTGTGTGTTTGATGAGAATGACAAATTATGACTCATTCTCTTTCACAAAAAAATACTCCAACTTATAGTAACCTATTCCAAAAATAGATTAAGACAATTAATTCTTATTTAAAACTTTATTATATAAAATATCAGTATAATTGTCTTTGGTGACATTAGTTTGGACATGTGTTCTTTACTTAATGACATGATAACCAATTAAAAAAGGGACAAACCATTTATTCAAAAAGGGACAAATTAGTCTCTCTTCACTGTCAAATTCCCCTCACTTTCCTTTCCATTTGTGAATTTTATCGCTCATTCATGGTTTGTTCTTAACATCACATTCCTTTCTATTTGTGGATGAAAATATGTTGTGATGCTTGTGCTTTTTTTCTCTATATCTTTGTTTCTTTCTTTTGCATATTTGCTGCAGTAACTAAACGTAGAAAGACTAAAATGTCTTCTTTGTTTTTCTTTTTTTGTCAATTAGATTAACTAAAAATTTCTATTTAAATTTATTGATAAGGACCACGTAGTCCCTTAATTCTGTGACATAACGCATAAATCAACAGGAGACACCCAACACATTAGCATCGTCCAAAATAATCCATTTTTCAGATGAGGGTTGGACTTGAGGACTTTCAGCAGGCCATATTAGCTTATGGATAGACATTATTCGTCAGACATTCTAATTTATTTGGAGCAAGTTCTTATTCCAACCATGATCACTCACAGATGACACATTGAACAAACACTCAAAAACTATGACATCGTCTAATTGAAGCTCAGCAGCTCCAAAGTTTATATCCTGGGCTAACTGCAAATCTGGCACTCTAAAGTTCAGGTGCATTAGATGAATGCAAAAAACTTGGCAAAACCACATAACTAACATATCCCAAATTACTCTCCAAACTCAGCCAGGGCATAAACCCCTGCCCATCAGAATTGACCTGCATCCACCCAATAGCAGGAGGAAGCCAGCTACCCAACAGACACCTCCATAGTAGGGTCTATTCACATTAGGATTTAGGTTTCTCATCTCTAGAATATACTCTCTGATTCTTAATATATGAAAAAGTTTGATTTTTAGATTCATGTACTAATTAATGTATCTGGTCTATTTATTATATAAACTAAATACATTTATTTAATAAATTTAAAATGCAAACTTTTTCTTATATTAAGGACCGCATGGAGTACTTAATAGTAGCATACTGCATGATATAAACCTTCAAGGGTGGACCAACCTACAAAAGGTTGGATCGTGAACCTGCTCAAATTGGCATCCAATGAAAATTATAGGCTCCTCAGATCGATTATGAGAAATTGAAAGAAGCCCATAAATGTTGCCAACAAAGAAGTTTGCTCTCTCATTCGACGAAACTAAATGCCTCCAAACATACAACACAATCTCTCATAACAGAAGGATACTTCAAAGACCGTGTAATTAAAACGGCAATTACCAGTGATTAAACTGATACGGACAGTAGCAAACTCAAGTAAAAGATGGACAGTAGCAAACAAACATGTTCAAGTACAAGACCAACGAGTAGAGATAAAAAGTAAATGTTACATGGTATTAGGGAATAGAAAAGGTGCGGGGAGATTAAATTTGAGTCACGCTGTTCACAGATCAAAACCTGAAACCCCAAAAGATGTATGGGCTCATACAAGGTCATAAAACTATATCTCACAATGAACCATTTGAAATCTTCCCATGAGAGTTGTAGATATCTTCATTTATAACTGTTCAGGTCATCCACTTAGTTTATTCTTTTCGAGCAAGGAGTTGATTTGCAAATAACAGTCAGTCAAGTCTTCAGTAATCACGTCCATTGTATGGCATTTCCTGCAAAATACCGATTTGAGAAAGATCCAGTTCCCAGAAAATTAAGCACATGCCTCCCCAAAAGCATACAATTAATTGCATTTAGAATTGTTAAATTTCAGTTGAGATGCCTAATTGAAGAATAGGCATGTTTCACCATTGTCGTGATTCATGATAAGAAAGAATGCAACACGCATGATATATCAACATGGAACATTATGCATCCAGTTACTGAAATGGCTGATTTTATCATTTATGACAGTAGGAGTAAGATGAAAGTTCTTACAGGTAAGTAACTCGGCATGTATAAAGCTTGCATAGGATGACCATGAAGCTGTCCGTACTGCAATCAGATTGTAAGCAAGTATTGTAAAGCACCATTATTCTAGCCACGATACAACAAGTAGTTTCATACCTGTGGTGCATTTGGACGAAAATAGGCTTGAGTTGGCATTTGGGATACCTGTGGATTATATATGATAGGTTGTTGCCCGGTAAAAGTGGGTCCAGCCTGAAGGTCATATGCAAAAAAAGATAGTGTGTTAACAGTACCAAGGCAGAAAAGAAATCAAGTCAAACCCAATACATCTGCATAGTCTCATTTGCAAACTAATTAACCAACTTTATAAAATGCATCTCCAGAATATCAAATTAAAGTCCAGAATATCAAATTAAAGTCCAGAATATCAAATTAAGTCCCCTATCCGCAAAACAGGGGATGAATAGCTACCAGAAACTTAAAATAAACTTTAAGCATGTGACAGTAGTTATTGTGCTAGATGAATTTGATAGTAAGTCATAACTCTTTAGTCTAATGATGAAAGTCAAATGTAGCAGTAATACTTAAGTAACTCCAACCCATAACTAAATACTTCTACATATTCAATTCAATAAATACTCTGAATGACTTACCCCAATACTCATGGGCAGGCCTGGCATATTTGGTACAGTAGTTACATTAGGTTGAAAATAGAAGGAACTATCAGACACTGGAGTGGAAGGGCGAGCAGGTGATGGAATAAAACTCTTTGCATTAGGGTTGGGCTTGAACTCCTTACAACATGAATAAGAAACAGGAGAAACTCAGACAATCGCAAATAATTTATAAAGCAAGAATCAGCTAGTGAAATATTCCTTCTTGAACTGCACCTTTGCATCGGGATTCAGAGACGATTGTTCAGAAGACAGTGAACCAACAGACGAACTTGGAGATAAACCAGGACCAGAAGATGCTGCCACATCTCTCACAGAATCTGACCCAGATAATGCACCGACACCGCGTGAATTTATATACTCTGTTCCCTCATTAGCTTTGCCATATGCTAAATCCCCGGGGGATCCAATCTTCTCATGAGATTTTGTTAATATATGAGATGATGGGGCATAGGAGCAACCATTGGGAGATAAGTCCTTCTTCAAGTAGAGTGATGTCTGCGAATCTGCACAAAAATTTGAGGAATACACATGATCAAAAAATCAGCCACAAAAATTAAGTCTCAAGGTGTTAGAGCTGCCATTTCAAAGTACTGGAGTACTAACAGAAAGCTTCTCAACACCCTACATAAGTTAGGGAGTAGTTTCATATGCATCATTTCAGATGTAACATTTTAGAGCTGCTCAAATCTGAGGAAGCTGAAAGATTTTTTTACATACCCTGGTATTTAGACAGTTGAACATCCTCATATTGCTGCACCAATTAGAGAAGAAAATAAAAACAAGATTCAGTCATATTAGAAATACTAGCAGTCTCATGTGAGAAGTTTGTGTGGATAAAAGTTTGTGCAGTAATGCTGAAACTTCAACTCACTATAAGATTTTCTTCCTTCTTGTTACCACTGGTTCCACGTAGATTTTGAATCGGGTTCTCCTGAAACCTGTAATGTTGTTGGATACTTATGAAGGTTTGTAATAAAGATGATACTAGTGTCCAAACGGTCTGTCCACTTTTTTAGTGAGCACATGGGTAAAAATATAAACTGTATTTTTTTGCTTAAATTTGATTTGTTTAAATTAATTGTGTGATAAAACAAATAAATGGTAGAAGATTATTGAATGAAAAAATATATGTAAACTACTCTGAAAATGTTAGAGAGAAGTTAAAGTTTAAAATAAAAACTGAAAAGCGTATATTTGGGGGAAAAATAGGCTGTTTTGCCTTTATATATAGTTATGGCTATATTGTTATAGATTTATGCTTGAAATGACATCTTTAGGAAAACAATACAAAGCATTAGTGGAAACAAATATTGTTATACAGAACAGATAAAGGTAACACCTGCTTTCCACATCCGAAGACGAGTTGCTTTTGGATGGGATTGCAGACGCAAACTGCTTAGCATGATCATAAGCACACGTGCTGCTTAAATCTACACCAGTACTTGACTGAGATGACTGTTGGTGATCCTGCATACACAATATACACCAAGTATTGCAATAATGAGAAAGCAAAATAGTTACTTCTTTCTTGAGATGAGAGGAAAGCGTGCAAAGAAGACCACAAAAACTTGAAAAGAACATCGATATTAACATTTTCCTGGCCAAGGAAATATATAGTTCTTAGTAGTATTTAGATGTCAAATCTGCACGAATTTTAAAAGTATAATAAGACGCTTTGACGGAATAGGAATATTAACAATTGCGTAATATACAATGCACTATATAGTTATATAGTATTATTAGTATTAGGAATACGGCTAGGTTCCCATTGTAATGAGAATTGGGCTTGAGGCTCAATTCTCTGCCCCTCCTCTATAAGGCTAGGTTCCTAACAAAATTCTGTTATGTGTTGGTTACAATCAACCAACTATATATACCAATGTATCAAACTGAAAATAGAATGAAGTTCACTTTTTCAGTTTCTAAAAATAAATAAAAAATTAGGCCAAACTCTAATATGGTATAAGAGCATATCGATCGGACCAAGGGCCACCCGCCATTAATATCCGAGCATTTAACTTGACACCCCAACAGTTATACTTGGCACCCCCAATGATGGTCCTATTATTCTTATGCCCCTATAAAAAAATGTACACTACCGGAAATTTCAAGAGAAATACCAGATTTTTCCAAAATTACCGGATTTCTTAAAAAATCCGGTAGTTCATTTTAAAAAAAAAAAAATCACACTACCGGAAATTTCAGTATATTTCAAAATTTCAGGTAGAATAAAAAAAATTCAAAAAATTATACCAGAAATTTCGTTCTTGTCCACCCCCCAATTTGTTCAGGGGCATTTATAGAATAACGAAAAATAGGAGGGTGTTAGGTCAAACTTGAAGGGTGACAAGTTAAATTCTCTTAATATCCACACATCAAGCCCAAAAAGAGTGTTGGGCGTGAGGGTGGGAAAATCACAAGTCCCACATTGGTTAGACATAGAGCCTCTAAAGGATTTATATATAGTGGCACGGCACCCCTCACCTTACAAGCCGGTTTTGTAAGGATGTGTTAGGCAAAACTCTAATAATTGTAATCATGAACTCCAAAGCACAATATGGTTGAGAGAATTATTGGGAATTACTAAATTCCAGCACTTTTCATGATTAAATAATGAAATGAGGATATACCATGGGAGAGGAAGTAGCCAATGTATGAGCGCCATCATTGCCTTCTCCATGATATATTTCACCTGACCTCTCATCGATCGAACCGAATTTACCACAAAAAGTCTCAGAATTGTGTGAATCTATTAGTATATCTTCATTTTCCTCATATGTATCATCAACATGTTTACCCCTATCCACTGAAGAGAATCTTGTTTCTTCGTCAATATCAAAGTCTTCATCAAAGTGAAGACCTCTTTCCTGTTAAGAAAAATAATATAGTTAGCGAGTTTTAAATACACAATTAAATAAAAAACTGCTGAAATTCACAAGTGCCAAAAAAAAGCAAGAACAAGGGTACTTGAGCAACACTAACCTCAGCAAGATGAAGATCTCGAGCTTCCTCACCCTCGATTTCCCTTGCTATTCTTAAAGCCTGCACTTCTAATTCTCTTGTCTGTGGACCTTTTTCAAGCTTTGTTGTATAAAGTTCCTCATTGAATGTGCTTTTTACCCCAAACAACGCCTTATTTGTTTCAAACTGGTCCCATCCCCTTAAAATGCTTAAAAAGGAAGGTTAAAGAAATTGCCTATGCAAAGCTAAATGGATATGCTGGGAAGAAACTGAAACATGAAAGTTAAAAAAAGGAAAACCTGTACCTAACACAA